TGCCAGGCTCCTGCGTCCATGGAATTCTCCAGGCAAGAATACTAGAGTGGGTTGCCATTCCCTTCTCCCAGGGATCTTCCTGACCCAGGAACTGAATCCAGGTCTCCTGCATTGCAGCAAATTCTTTACCATCTGAGCCACCAGGGAATCTTATTTCTCTACTGATACCCTAAATGTCAAGCCCCTTCAAGAGGTCGAGATTCAGGAATTTCTACATTTGTAAAATGCTGATACCAGGCAGTGATAATGGCAGTAAATGAGTTTGCGGATGGGATATGGAGGAAATGGCAACCCATTCCAGTATTCTTGCCTGGAAAAGCCCTTGGACAGAGGATCCTGGCGGGCTTACAGTTCATAGCATTGCAAAACAGACATGACTGATTATGTATTACTGGAATCATATTTAATTAAAATAAAATCCATGTGAGATAAAAGGACATTTCTTTACTTCTAGGAAAAGGCATTGATAAATCTATTTTATAACTTCTACTTTCAGGGATTTAGAATACACATCTTCAAAATTTCTACTCTGAAAATTTCTTTTCAGGCTCAGAAAATTAAACTGGAAGAGAATTTTAATTCGCCATCGAGAAGACATTCCTTTTGATGGTACGAGTAAGGACATGGAGAGACAAAGAAAATTTTCAGTCTTTGAAGAAAAAGTATTCAGTGTTAATGGAGCCAGAGGAAACCACATGGACTTTGGTCAGCTGTATCAGTTTTTGAATGCCAATGGATGTGGGAATGTTTTCCAGATGTTGTTTGGTGTGGAAGGACAGTGAGCAGGGGAGTGGCTGAAAGCGTTTGGCCACTGTTGGTCTTTTGACTTTTTCCTCTCTTTTGCTTGAAAGATTAATTTGACTTTAGTCCCCCTCTAGAATGTTAGGGAGGAAAAAGAGGAAAAGCAATGTAGCAGAAATGCATCTGTTAAAAATATGTGATGATTAGAACTGAGTTTTAATTTATAATCTTAAAATTGTTGGTAGACATTTCTTGACTTACAAGCTACCTGTTTTTAAAGAGAAGTTAATTATATTATAACGTAGGTGGTCCATCTTGCCACCCATCCCCGACCCCTTCCCCCTGTATCTGTGTCCACTAAAGAACCTGGAAAAGCTAAAGGCTCACTGTCTCAGGCTCTCTGGCAGCTAGGGTGGCGGGGGGACACAGCTTTGAGCATGGAACCTCTGGAAAAAATTTTGCTTCCCTGATTAAAATGATAGATGCAACTAGAGCACCTCTTCCCTCTCTTCTGTCACAAACACCAAAATGATCACTGGAGCTGCAATAGTCCTTGCAGCCACGAAGGAAGGAGGGGTCAAGAGAGCCACAAAGATGCCAGTCCTCAAGCATTTGAACCGCTGATCCAACACTAGCCCCTGCCTATCTCTAGACAGCTTATTAGGAAATAAAACCAGTTTTATTTGTATTTCTGTGCCTGTTACTAGCAGCTGAAAGTGAGTTCGCCAATTAGATTTTTTTCAGAGCATTAGTTTTGCAGGCCATTTGGTACAAAAACAGGTGAGATTTTTCTTAAACAGAGTTTGCAGTTCATCTGTATTTTTGTACACTCACACTGTGCCCCTGCTTCTTGCCTTACCTCAGGGAAGGCTTTGAAGACTTTTTAATAGGTCTCAAGCGTGCATGGAATTGGTAATTTAGAGCATTCGTTTTTGGCAAATTGGATTTTGACAAATTTTTTTCATCATGCAAGTGGCTTTCTGTAAATCTACTTTCAGCAAATTGACCCACTCAGATAAACACACAACCTGGTTTTTGAGATCCTGCATAAACCAGTTTCAAAAGTGATGATTAAATATTTACTAACTGCTATTACTCAGGTTGATCCTGTGTGTTGGGTGTTCCTTGAGGAGTCAGACTCGGATGGAGGAATGGGTGGAGGTGGGGGGCACATGCATTGTTTATCTTAGTAAAACAGTTGGAGGCAACTTATGTGGCCATCACTAAGCGAGTCAGTAAGTATATTATTCTACATATTATCCAATGCTAGGGAGAAAACAAAAGGGATAAAGCAGAACTACAAGGAAACGTGGACAGATCTTAGATACACACGTAGGGAAGAATCCAGATGGTTTTCATGGATGAGAGTCTTACGTTCCTTCTCAGGTTCCCTCCCTGCTGCCCACCTCCCTGGTGCCCTGTCGGCTGCCCTGGAAATGCCAGTCCTTCCTCCACGGCTACCACACAGCCAGATGGACCAGCTGTACCTTACTTTCTGACTTCCCCAGCCACTTCCAGACTGGGATGCAGTACCCTACCAAGCATGATACCAACATGGCAACAGGCCACCAAGGGGGCCAGGTGATGCCATGTTACTTTCAGCAGGGCTAAACTGCTAAAACGTCTTTACTCTGTACACTATTTTAATGAAAAACACATTGATCTCAAGTGTAATATGAAAACATAGACTACAATAATGGAGCTTTATAAGCTTTCTTCCCAGACAGCTGTCAGATTTAGACTGAACTATTAACACAGTGACCTAGAGAAGTACAGAGTTTTCAACCTTATAATTAAGAAATTTTCTCTGAAAATGAATCAAAGTATTAGTCATCAATAAAGAAAACAAGTTAGATAGTCTGCCTACATTATATAATGTAAAAGACACCATACAAGCTGTAAGAAACTAAAATGTAATAGGCAATATAGATTTTTTAGACTTTTACCAATGATTATGGGCTTCCCTGGTGGCTCAGTGGTAAAGAACTTGCCTGCCAATGCCGAGACAGAGGTGTGATCCCTGGGTTGGGAGAATCCCCTGGAGAGGGAGATGGCAACCCACTCCAGTGTTCTTGCCCGGGAAGTCTCACAGACAGAGGAGCCTGGCAGGTTACATACAGTCCAGAGGGTCACAAAAGAGTCAGACACGACTTGGTGACTAACCAACCAAACCAATGTACTACATATATAGACATCCTTAAATGTAAAATTATTCAGTATGATTGCATGATGTTTATCCCATGATGAGTGTTTGTCAATGTATTCTGAAAAAATCTTGAACTGAAATCTTCTATAAAGAAATGATAAATCTTTAAAAGAAAGTCTTAGTCTCAAATCAAGTTATGTTTAACATAATTGATTGAATCTATAGAAAGCAAGAGTGTTAGCAGGAAACATTGGCTACATAACCATTTTTATTTGTAAAAGTAATTCCGGTACAAATAATGGTTTTCTCAAGTCAATCAAAACAAAATCAAAAATTCTAAAATTAACCTCATAAAACTAAATTAAGTTTGGATTAACAAAATCAAAGCCAGCCCTACCCCCTGCACATTAATTTGACAAAGTGCATTAAAAAAACAAACAAACAAAAAACTTATCTACTATCTAGCAGAACTGATGATTACTTTTGGCACCTATAGAAAAGTAACAAGCACAGATTTTTTTTTTTAAAGAAAGTTGTATATCAGGGAAACCCAACAATATATCATTGTGAAATTCCATTAAAGCTACCAGGCAGCCAAGAGTTAATAGAACATAAGAAGAATTGATGCAATGCCAAAGAAAGCTCAAACTACCGCACAATTGCACTCATCTCACACGCTAGTAAAGTAATGCTCAAAATTCTCCAAGCCAGGCTTTAGCAATACAGGAACCGTGAACTTCCAGATGTTCAAGCTGGTTTTAGAAAAGGTAGAGCAGCCAGAGATCAAATTGCCAACATCCACTGCATCATTGAAAAAGCAAGAGAGTTCCAGAAAAACATCTATTTCTGCTTTACTGACTATGCCAAAGCCTTTGACTGTGTGGATCACAATGAACTGTGGAAAATTCTGAAAGAGATGGGAATACCAGACCACCTGACCTGCCTCTTGAGAAACCTGTATGCAGGTCAGGAAGCAACAGNAGGGGGAAGATTGATGAAAACTGCAAAACTCTCAGGACCTTAAGTGAGGTGCATGCATGTGTGTGTATGTCAAAGATTAAGATAGAGCAGGGGAATTCTCTCTTTATAGGAAGGGCTATTCATTTGTCAATTGATTCAGTACCTGGGATCAAAATCAACAGGGCACCAAAAGAGAAGGCAAGTTAAAAAGACTGAAATATTCTAGCAAATTCACTTTGAGATGGTGGCTTCCATTAGCTAATTGAAATGGATGGGAGAGCAAATCACAGTGCTAGGAGACATCAAAATGTTCTACTCTTTGGCAAAGTTGTGTTCCACGCCTCACGCTGGCTGTGACCCCCTTGCCTGCTCCACCACACACTGCCTTCTGCTCTGTTGGAGCTTGCACCACTCATAAGACCTGCTACCAGAGTCACTGGGTGGAAAAAGAAAGTGAACATGAAGTCGCTCAGTCGTGTCCGACTCTTTGCGACCCCATGGACTGTAGCCCGTCAGGCTCCTCCGTCCATGGGATTTTCCAGACAAGAGTACTGGAGTATTCCCCTTCTTCAGGGGATCTTCCCGACCCAGGGACTGAACCCGGCTCTACCCGCATTATAGGCAAACGCTTTACCGCCTGAGCCACCAGGGAAGATCTAAGTCCACAAAAATTCTGCAAAGGGGCACCAGGAGCCTTCCCCTTGAGCAACATCTGGCAATCTGACCCCACCGCGTCGTAGGAGGGATGTACGCCTTCACGTCCTCTGCCTCTGCCATCTCTACGAAATGTCAAAGGCAGACATCTGCTCCTTGGAGGAGCAGAACCCGGGAAGGGAAGATTCCGGCTCAGCGGCTTAAAGCAGGTGACTGGCTACCTACGGACACCAGGGTCCCGAGATGCTCCCAAGTGCACCTGGCCAGAATTCACGCGCCTCGCTCACAGGATCCCAGGTCACCAGACCTCCGCCTGAGCAGCGGGGAGGCCCCTGCGGCGACTTCACGCCTGCGCCCCGGAAGCACGCTCCCTCCTAGGGGCAAAGGCGTATTGGGGCTGTCCGGCAGGGGGCGCTGGTGTCTGATCTTCTGGCCCCGTGCTGACTGTGTGGGCTTGTCCTTCAGGCGGGCAGCCTCCACTCTTCTTCTGGCGTTCTCTGGTGTTGAGATGCGCTTTTTTTCTTTTTAATATTTATCTTTCAGGGGGAAAAAATGGAATCGATCCACATTCTCTTGGGATTGCCCAGGTGTTGCTAACAGCTGGAATAATTGGAGGCATGATGTTCCAAGGACCTGAATGGTGTCTTCGAGGACCAGGGTGTCCCCGGATCCTAACCAAGGAATTACTGAAATGGAGGCTTAATTATTTTTTTAATATTAAAAATATTTTTATTTCGTTTTAAACTGATACTCTATTGTTTTAAACAAATTGAAGTAGTTTCAGAGAAATTTAAATGACTCGAGTTCTCAACAATATTGTGGTTTTTAGATATTTTGAAGTTCTAATTAATGATTCTTCTTTTTTAAATTTATTTATTTAATATATTGTAGTGGTTTTTGCCATACATTGACATGAATCAGCCATAATGATTCTTTAAATAACACTAAATTTAACCGAAACTAACATATGATAGAAAAAAGTAATTTTTTTAGGAAAAAAAATCTTGTTTATTGACCTAAAGTTTGTTTTATCGGAGTTCTTTTTTAAAAATTTATCAAAATGTAATTGATTTACAATGTGTTAACTTCTCTATTACAGTAAAGTGATACAATTATACAAATATATACTTTATTGGAAAAAGTAAATTTTGATAGACCATCACTTTTGTTCTTAAAATATTTTCAGACTATCTATTTTCAAATAGTCCCTGAAGAATCATTTGCTTTGGACGATTAAATATACAAGTTTTTCTCATGCAGTACAGAGACTTAATTTTTCTCCCTGGGGTGTTTGGCATTTTGAGTTTTGTAAACTTGTTTTCTTTTCTCCCCACCCCCCCAAAATATATGCAAGTAAATCTGTGCAATACCTTTTTATTGGAAAGGTAACCATTGTATAAAATGTACAAATAACTGGATCTAAAACTCACCTATAACCTTGTTTTACGTTTTTTAGTATATTATTTTTGTATATGTGGTCTTTGTTGTTTTTACACAAGTCATAGTGTCTGTGTTGCTTTGTTATCTGCCTTCTTTGATAAAACAATAGGTTGTAAACATTTCCATGAAATTAATTATTTTCTTTTTTTTTCCATTTATTCTTGTTAGTTGGAGGCTAATTACTTTACAAAAATTAATTATTTTCAACACGTCTTATGTTCAGTTGTCTGAGTGCACTGTAATTGATTTCAGCAGTTCCCTGGTTTGGTGTACTTTCAAAAACAAAGCTGCTCTGAGCATCCATTATTATCTCTTTAAGTTAGATTTCAAGAAATGGAATTTCACTCTGGAATTCTGGATTTGTCTTGCCAATTGTACTTGTGAAAGGTTGAGAAATGAAAATTGCAAAGACTTATAAAATTTCCTTTGCCCTATATTTTTACCAACACTGGTTATTATCATATTGCCAACTTAATAGATGGAAAAAAAGTCTATATTGTTTTATGTTTTCTTCATTTGACTTTTGATCTGGGTCAGGAAGATCACCTGGAGAAGGGCATGGTAACCCACTCCAGTATATATATATATATTTTTTTTTAGTTTTTAAAAAAATTACTTATTTTTAAATTTAAGGATAATTGCCTTACAGAATTTTGTTGTTTTCTGTCAAACATCAACATGATTCAGCCATCGGTATACATATGTCCCCAGGCAATGTACATATGTTCTTGCCTGGAGAATCCATGGACAGAGGAGCCTGGTGGGCTGCAGCCCATAAGGTCTCAGAGTCAGACATGAAGGAAGCAACTTAGCACTTCACCTCATTTGACTTCTAGTGTGAGTTAATAACTTTTT